CGGAATGTTTAAAATGCCCAACTATTTTCCGTCCCACTGCTATAGCATCAGCTATGCTCCTCTGTGCTAATAAGCGTGGGTAAACTCTTTGTACTCGTTGTGTTGGGATTTTAGGTGCTTGATTAAATTGCTTGTGTTAATTGCGCTACCTTTAGAGCCTCCTCTGGGCAATTTCGCTGAGCACAATTTGCAGTCCGCCTTTGTTTTCTCGTCTTCGTTCACTTTGAAATAGTTCCACACAGCTGATATGTCTCGCCTCGCTTTCTCCCCGCTCTGAGCTGCAGCCGGGGCGGGCACTTGGCGCCTATGATTAACCCCTTACATGCCGCTCAAACATAGACAGGTCTCAGACCGTGGTATCGGTCCTCGGTATCGGGGGACTTTTAACGAGTACGAGTACTTTAGAAAATGTGGTATCGAGGCCGATACCCGATATCGGTATCGGTGCATCCCTAGTCCAGGCCAAACAAGATGAACATTTATTGAACACACTAAAACAACGTTTTTTTAAACATAAATATGAATAAAAACAGACAAAAATATTATTCCAGAATAAATAAACTTAGAAAAATTAAACTTTAACTTTGACTTTAAATGTTTTGCTCTCCATAAAAATATATCCTGTCAAATTTATGCAAGTTAGAAATATGAACATGCTGCCAAAACCCCAGTAAAAATAAATGAAAATTGTGCTTTTAAGTAAACGGTAAAGTAACAACAAATCAAAACAATGAGATTTTGTTGCTATTATGCCATTTTATAAAAAAATAAATAAAATGTTTTGCTCTTCCTGTGAAATGATGCGAATTCAAAATATGAACATGATGCAAAAACAAAAACAAAAACTGGAAACAAATAAAATTTCTGTAGACGGAGCTGGGGTATTGCTTCAGGTATGGAACGAATGAACTGTGCGGGCCCTTCAGTGTCGTACTTTGCCTTGAGTGTCCCATTACACTGCAGCTCAATCAGCTCCATCTGAATCTGCACAGGTGCAGTTTCCACGTCAACTGTAAATGGATTGCGAAGCAGTTCAAAATGGTCTTTTTCTGCTCCAAAGTCACCAAAGCGCTGTGCGAACTCAGTGCGCAGTGCGCTCAGTTTATCAGAAAAGTGCTCATTTGGGAACACTGTTGCGCCGACTTGGTTCAACATTACTTAGCAACGGGGAAAGTGAGGCAAGTGATGCATTTGTGACTCCCATAGGAGCAGCTTGGCTTGAAATGCCTTCCCACATCATACATGCCATGTCCATGAACTGGCAGGTTTCTTTGCTGAGCTCAAAAACTCTATAAAATAACTTTTCCCCAACTCAGCCAACGAACCTCTGTATGATAAGGACTCTGAATCTATTTCCTGCACGAAAGAGTGAAATTGACGGTCATTTAAACCTTTAGCTTGGATAAAATTTATGTTTTGCGTTACGTTACTCATTACATGCTCCATTTTTAGGAATTTACCACACAGCGTTTCCTTGTGCATGATGCAGTGATCTGCTGTTAACTCACCAGTTACTCGCATCCTGCCAAGTAGTCCACTTTTTTCACCGCACATTGCCGCCACTCCATCTGTTATAACTCCAACAAGTTTGTCCCAGGGCAGCTTCATGTCGCTACACTTTGACATACGTTTTCAAAAATGTATTTTCCTTTTGTTGTCCCGTGCGTCTATTTAATGTCCAATATTTCCTCTGTAACGAACAAATTGGAGTCCACTCCACGGATTAAGATAGCCAGCTGTGTAAGGTCCATAATGTCTGTACTTTCATCCACAGCAAGAGAGTATGCAATAAAGTCTTTGCTTCTTTCACACAACTGTGTTCTTAAATCAGTGGCCATCTCACAAAATAACAGCAATCGTATTTCTGCTCAGGCTCACTTTTGCCAAAATCTGCATTTTGTCTGGAGACAAGACATCGCACAGCTTCATCATGCAGCTATTTAGAAACTCTCACTCGGTAAATGACTGGGCTGATTTGGCTCTCAATATTTTTTCCAAATTCATGGCAATACATATCATAAAACAACACACAATATTCACTTCAAAAATACATGCCAATACACGTGTAAATTTACAAGAACACAGATAAATACCAACTAATAACACCAAAACCATACTCAAGCCTTTTTTAAAATTAATCATATCTTTAAAAGATCCCAAGGTAAAGGACTATTATTCTTCTGTTCTAGAGTTTTCCTCCTTCTCAAATCTGCAAAAATGTTCTTGCAAACAGCCACACTGCCGATCATCTTTTGTTCTATGACCACCTTGGCTCTTGTTTTCCAAACGTGGGGGTTGATAATGCACATGATCAGCCAAAAAAGACGACTTTTATTATCATACATTTTTTCCTTAAACAGTCCATACTTAATAGCTTTTATATTTTTGTCAATATCAAAGCCCACTTTAGCCATTTCCTGTCTAATCTCTACCTCCTGACCCGGCTCTGGAGGACTCGGGGGTCCATGAGCAGGATGGACCATTATTGTTATTAGTATTGTTATTAGTATTGTTGTTATTAGTAGGAGGAGGAGGAGCGTGCGTGCGTGCGGGTTTAGTGTTTAACGGCTGCTTCTGTTATTGTCCTGCAGGTGGAACGAGGGACCAGAAGGGCAGCACGCACAGGGTGTGCAGAAACACAACTGCTGGGAGCATGAGCACGGGAGTCTAGGGAGCAAAGGGGATTTATTGTGCATCTGCTGCCTTCACTGTAAATAAAGTGCACTGTTTGCATCGCAGAACCATGCGTTTTGGGTCCTCATTCCCCCATATCCCCACGGTCTGCCAGCCAGACCGTGACACTACTGTTCTATAGCAGGATAACAGGAGGTGTTCCAAGGTTTGGCTCTCTGCTCTGCTAAAATGAAACTTGCTTTCACAACAGCTGCACTTTGTGATTTTGCTCTGGTGAAAAATGTCTGCTGAAATGTCAGATTCTTCTTTAGCTCTTCTACTTCCTGTATTTTCTGCTGCGCATTTAGGTTTTTCAGCTTATCCTGTCTCATAGCAATATATGTTTACAGACATGTATTGCTGTAAACATACAGCAATCTACGTGATTGACAGGTCACGTAGATTGCTGTATGTGCCTTATTTAGCAAGGCACTCATCTTCTTGAAGGTTTGTTTGGGGTTGTTATCATGTTGGAATACTATGGCCTCCAAAAGTTGATTCTGTTCATCTGGATGTAGCTTTTTCAGTGGGAGTAATGTTTCATCACTCATCCAAGTGACTTCTTCAGACTCAGCTGACTGCAGGTTTTCCCAATCTTATAAACAGTATATTTGCATAATGGCTGAAACCAGCCCACTGAAGGAACAATGGGCTGGGAGGTCAGTTCCTTAATCTTAATTATGCAAATTCTCATGACCATTGATCAAAGACCACTGATCAATGGTCATCTTATAATGTGATTGCAGCTATTCCCCAACTCTCTGTGAATGGTACTCATGGCCATTGATCAGTGATTTTTGATGTCTTTATATTTACCATAGTGCCACATTTAGACTTTCCTTTCAGAGGATATTATTAAATCAGGTCAGTAGGAGCAAAGCAAAAAATAAAGAAAATAAAAAAATATTATTTTGTTCTCATGGAAAGTTGTCCACAGTGAGCTAAGTGGAGCCAGAAAATGTCTGAACTGATCCATTTTAAAGTTCTGTACATGCCAGTTCCTTGGGGACTGTTCCATCAATACTGATGATTTTCCATCAGTATCGAAAACCAATTATAAGATAATTGGGATGCTAACCACCGTGGGATGCACGGTGGTTAGCACTGTTGCCGCACAGCAAGAAGGTCCCGAGTTCAATTCCAACATCAGTGTGGAGTTTGCATGTTCTCCCCGTGTCTGCGTGGGTTCCCTCCGGGTACTCCGGCTTCCTCCCACCGTCCAAAGACATGCAGTTTGTGGGGATAGGTTAATTGGATAATCCAAATTGCCACTAGGTGTGAATGTGCGAGTGAATGTGAGTATGAATGGTTGTCTGTCCTTGTGTGTTAGCCCTGTGACAGACTGGCGACCTGTCCAGGGTGTACCCCGCCTCTCGCCCTATGACAGCTGGGATTGGCACCAGCACCCCCCGCGACCCTGAAAAGGATAAGCGGTAGCGAATGGATGGATGGATGGATGTAAAATCTGAACAACAGAATGCAATGATTTCTTAATTTCATAAAGAAAACTTCTTTTATGCACAATAGAAAATGGAACTCTTCAAATATCTAAACAGAAAAAATACAAATTTTATAAAAAAGCATTACCTAATTTTGAGTATGACGGCAGCAACGTGTCTAAAAAGTCGGAAAGGTGCAACAAAAGGCTGGAAAAGTCGTACTCAAAAGAAAAAAACTGGGGGAACACTTTTTGGCAACAGTTAAGTCACACTGGGTATAAAAAGACCATCTTAGTGAATTGAAATATTTTTCTGTTGATTAAGTTCTATCTGTATCTGTGAGTTGTTATAATTGTCCTTTAATATTCATCATTAAATATGGTTGATTAGTATTAAAAGTTTGGTGCTTCAACTCCATTCACTATGTGATTTGTTCTGTAGTGCTGATATGGCAGTTTGGGGTTTTTTGCTTTTCCCAGTAGAATTTTGTAGTTAATGAATTTATTTAAACCAGTTTTATGTTGGTGTAACTAGGAGTACTGAGAATAGATAATATGGCCAGGGTAGGATTTTAGGGTTAGGGTCTTTTTTTTTTTAAGAGGTTATGTAACTGAGATTAAACTCTGGGGGAATATTTATGCTTAAATATTTACTGTTGCCAATGTGAAGAAGGAGAGCAGGGTCCTGACCTGGAGATTGCATCCTCAGAGAGTGACATTATGGTTGATTTATTCCAGTTTATTGTGTATGTAACCCAGAGTAAAATCTGTTTTACTAGAATTTAGTAATTTCCTGCACTTATTTCCTGCCATTGGACGCATCACAAATACATGACTCCAACCACATGACTTTGCTCAGCCAATCGGATGGCATGTAGGTCATAGTAAGCCTGTCCCGGCTTTCTCCCGTCAGATGAATGGAGGCAAGCCAGGTGACGGAGTTGTTGCAGGTTTATATTAGCAAACACTTGCTTTTCCGTTTTAATGCATTTTTTTTTAAACACCAGCTAACTTATTCGATTTGGACGCGGATTATTGTGAGCCAGAGCCACAGTGCTGTCGTGCACTGAACAGAACGGAATTGGTGAGTTTGAACTTTTAATTGACTGTATTGCTACCAGCTGACGCTAATTGGCTGCTGCCGGTCCAGACAATTTGATTTAGATTTTTTTATTTGATGATAGTTGTTGAATAACAAATGCTGTGACGCTATATAATATGTATATAGCAGTTGAAATGTTTTAGTTAAATCCTTATTGGTTAAATATACTGTTTGTTTAATTATTTATAAATTGTGTACCCAGGAACAAGAATAACGTAATGTATTTAGCCTAACTGGCTGACATTTTTTGTATTCTTGTGATTTCTTATTGGCCTTGTTTATTTAATGCAGGCCAGGTGAACCTTTTTGGGTATGAAAAAGGATGGCGAGCCAATGAACGGCTAGGAGCAGGACTCATTCTGCATTGAAGCTTCCACTGGACTGGTAGGAAGCTATCAAAGACGACGCTCTGTCCCGTAATTTCCGAATACACTGATTTCCACAATCATACACACCAGTTCCCCCGTTTATGGACAATAGCGCTTGGACATCTCTCATGGATATTCAGATAAAACTCATGGACTTCAGTGTGGATCAGTGTTTTCGATGTTAACATGTGTTATTTATGGGGAACTTTTTTTGAGAATCTATATTGCTTGGTATAAGCCAGAAGAATTTGCTTAGTTGTCTTTGTGCACCCCCACTGGGTTTTTCTATTAATTAAATAGCTACAGCAGGAATGATTATTTAAGCTTTCATTTTCTTTTCTTAATTTTCTTTGCTTTCGGTTAAATACATGGTACCTGCAAAAGCATTTTGTGTTGTGTGTATTTAATTACTGCCCATCAGCTCCAGTAGCATTCCTAAATCTTCTGATTAATAATAACCTAATATTTCACTCAATACCTAGCCTGTATTAATTCATTAGCGCTTCATCAGTGTTACATGTATTTAAGGGTATTTCACTTAAAAAGCAAGATGCACTGCCCTGACTGCTGGCTGGAGCAAATGGCCCCAAATGTATCTTTCGCTGCAGCTTCTCTCATTGTCATTTTATTTCTTTCTCATCTGAACTCTAAACTCTGATACATACAGAATCAGCTTTTCTTCATGTTTTCGTGCATTGTGTGGTTGAACTTGGCATAACTTTAGACACTGTCTCTATTGGTTGCAGTGAAGTAATACTGCACAGTGGTAAAATGCTCACCCAGTCTAACCTTTACCGCGACATGCATGAGTACCCCTCGCTGGCATGTTTACATTTCCGTCGCACTATGATTGGTTCATTTGGTAACTGGTTTAGGATGGAGCAAGCAATAGAAAAAGAATAGGTTTCAGAGCACAACGTACTGCTTTGTATGTTAAAGGGGCTTTTGAGATTTTGGAGAAGTCATTGATTATACTGAAAGTTTCTTGTAATGAGTTATGTGAATCTGATAGATATAATAAATAATTTGCATGGGACTAATTTTGTCTTGTGAATTCTTGTCTTCTGCTTTATTGCTGCAACAAATGGACAAAGAAGGAGAGAGAAAGTATTCCGGTCTGGTTCCCAGTGAAGTGTCAACCTTTGTATCCCTGCCCACCCTCTGCTGCTGTTTGCTAGATTCTTTGGACAATCCGTTTTTACATTTGCCCCACCCTCGTGAGGCATTGACTTAAATGGAGCAAGAAGCATCTTAAGAACCCATAGAGGACAAGGGTGCATACAGATCTCTGTAAGCAACAATGATCGCTGGTTTCTTCTTTCTGCTCATAATCACGGGTAAGCAAACATTATTATATTTTAATTCAGTTATTTCAGCATTTTATTTATATACAAATATATAAATATTAGGGTTGGGACTCAAAAAAATAATCTGATTAATCGCATTTAATCACAGAAGAAAACCTGCCGCAAAGTGCAAATGTTTTTTTCATTTAAAAGGGTTTTAGTGGGCAGTAGAATTAAATAATAGACATAAACATGAATATTTTAAACTCAAGCTCTTTTAATTTCTACATTTAAACTGCATTTCAATTCAAAACAGGGAAAGAAAAATAATATCCCTGTCCCACACTAGGCAGACTTAAAAATAAAATGCTATTTTAAGTACTGTAAGTACATTTTCAAAATGGTATTGTCTTTAAATAATAATAATAATAAGGCTAGGCTAAAACAGTGTGATCATGGAAGAATTTAGTACAAAACATAACAAACCCATTGGACTCAAAATACCCCCTTGCTTGTTTACTGTCCATCTCTCTCAGCCAGTTACTTAGGCAAACTAGCATGTTCACATTTTCAGAGCTCAGGGCAGCTCTCCTTTTTGTTACTGTGTGACCTGCAAGTGAGAACAGTCTCTTGCATGGGACATAAATAGCAGGACTAATCAAACGCTTGCGGGCCAGGACAGACACCTGTGGGTGGGTCTCTGCTCGACTGGACTACCACTGCGGTGGGCAGTCTGTCTCGCTGATAGTTGATTCTGCTCTGTACAAACTCAGGGTCCTGTTACACAGGGCTTCCTCATCTAAATCAGAGTCTGGAGACAATGAAGAGAGGAGGCTCTTTGTCTTTGCTGGCTCCTTTGTGGTGGCATCTTTAAAAAGTTCCTGCAGCAGGGCCTCAAGGCTGGTCCAAATCTCTTCTCGTGCTCCCCTTGCAATACACTTTAAATCCTTAAAACGTGGGTCAAGTACAGTGGCTCTTGTGGGTCTTGAGCCACTGATGGTTGGGTGTAGCTAACATTGGGATAGGGAAGGCAGTCTTAAATTTCACCATGTAGTGTGAGTCGTCATCATCAGAGACCTCCATGGTGTCATGCAGGTGGCAGAAAGCAGGTAAAAACACTCCACATGAGACACATGGCTCACCTCCAAGAAGTTCAGTCACTAACCTGTAGTAGACAGTTCAAGAAAGTAATTATTAATCTACACAATAACTGCCACCTATAGAGCTTTTTGAAGAAAAAGTAACAGTAAGTTAAAAGTTTTAATTACCTGAATGGTTACATGAAAGTCATCAGCTTTTTGCGTTTTACCAGCTGTGATGAAGTTATGACTGGCTTTTGTTTGACTAAAGCAGCAAAAACAGCCTCTTGCTGCTTTAGTAGACGAGAAACCATATCCAATTCCACTGTGTGGAAACATCCTTCATGAGTGACTGTCTGTTGCCCCAGTGTTATGTTTATGTTTGGCACAAACCTGTTGCTGGAACAGCCAAGATAATTCTACTACAATGGCAAACGCAGGCACAACTCTTGCATGAGGGAGATAAACGAGACGAGTGCTGTTCCTGTTGCTCAAACCGCGGTCACTCTCAGTCAGCTCCCCCGCAGCACTGCTCTTTATTAAGGTTACATGAATATTCACAGGTTCATTAACATACAACATCTTACACAGGCATACACGTGAACAAAGAGTGCCCGTGTGTGGGTCAAGATATGACCCTGTGATTGACTCCCCAAAGCTGGTGTTAGGAGTCCAGCGGACCACCTACACAAAATGCTCTTATACTTAAACAGATACAGAGTAAGTGTCCTCCCATACCATAAATCAGAAAGAGAAGGTACGACCTCTCTAGGGTGTGTGTGTGTGTGTGTGTGTGTGCGCGTGCGCCGGAGTGCTCTGGAATGCACAGTCTTTGTAGACAACTAAGGATCAGACATCCTATCAATATGCAATCGATTATATATCTCTAAGCATATATGAGTATATGTTTCTAAGCATACATGACAATCCAACAATTTAAATCTGACACCCAGTCTTGCTTGCTCCTGGTGTAGTTATTTCAAGTTACTTTTCTCAAAATTTTGAGTTAATAACTCAAAATTTCAAGTTAGCTCTGCCAGTCAGTAATCTATGTGAATGACGTAATTTTCTTGTTAGACGGAAGGATCTGGCACAGAGGAATGTGCACTCAAAGCCAGATTGTGAGCTACCAATGTATAGCAACAAATTGGTGCTTTCAATAGTATGTTTGCTGATAGTAACACCATGTGAGTCAGCTAATAACACAAGGATTTCATCATTTGTGAAGGTCACACTGAAAATACTCAGCAATTTGTGCATTCATGACTGGCTGTAATGCTGGTAGCTTAGCTGTAGCATTTGTAACTGAGGGCTTCAGCGTCCGGGTAAAAAGGAAATGACGCAATTCACGTAGATTACTGATTTGCAGTGTTCATACAAAATTGAGTTAAGGATTTTTTTTTTTTGATTTTTATTTAGTGGTGGAAACGGGCTTCCATAGCATGTAAAGTGCAATTAAATGCATTTTTTTTTGTTTTGTTTTGTTTTACACCAATGTTTGTTTTGTTTTTTTAAATTTTGCCTTCATTAACAGAATTCAGACAAGATTTTATGTATTTACTCTTTTGGAAATCTGAATTGAAGGACTTCAGTTGTTTAAACTGGTATGAGATCTTATATTTTACTAACTGAACCAGTCAAAATATTTAACAGTTGTAATATAGATTTGATCTAGTTTATCTATCTGGTTGAAGAATATTGAGTAAAACACAACTAAATATTTCCGGGTGAAACAGTTTGCAGACACTATGGCACAAAACAGACAGACGGACACCTAGTCAACTGTTTATTTGTATTAGCAACGCAATACTAATCAACTGGATTGGTCAAAGGAAATAGGACGCTGGGCTGAAAAACAGGACTCTGGTTGGTATCTGCCAGCCAAAAGTAAAGCTGATCTAAATACAGCAAGGTGTAGCATGCAGAAGGAAGCCACTGTGGAGAGAAATATAGGAAGTAGAGAGCAGAAATGAGAACGGAAACAGGTGTTGCAAGAGGTCTGGATGGCATCAGCTTGTGGCTGTGTAAGGGTTGAAGTGACATCTCAAGTACAGTATAAGTCTTTCTGTGAGTTCTTTTGTTACTGATTCCTCAGGACACTATAATATGTTATTGCTTATATATGTCCAGCGGTTGCTGTTTATTAAAATTCCCAGGTCTGTTTCCAAATCTTGAAATTTTTGGTTTGGTTGTTTGAGCCTTTCCATTTGGCCGAGTCACTTATTTATTTTAATTGTAAGCTGAAAATCTATTTAATTGTTTGTTTTTTTTTTTAGGTTTGTTTTTCTCATCATGTGTTCTTTCAGTTCATCTATTATTATGACCAACACTTATGCACCTAATTTTGTACATATGTATAACTTCTTTTATGTTCTTTCATGTCAGGTGGATATGTCTCCAATGTAGAGCTACCAGATGCTGATAAGCAAAAAAGCAATAGGACAATTACTGGAGGTATTATTAATTTATTCTCTCAAAGCTTATTCGGTGGATTTCAGTTAAATTTGGCTTAAATAAACATGGATATGCAAAAACAGTATGTATATGACACATTTACTGTTTTTCCATTGTCATGTCTACATCCCTGAATTATTAAGTGTATTTTTTTAACAAAGGAATAAATGGTATTAACATACAAACATGTGACAAAGAAACCTGATACATTAAACCTTAGAAATGAAAGATGTTGTAGATGCTGTATCTTTTATTTTTAAGGTGTAACATAACAAAAAAAGAAAAATCATATAGTCCATACCAGGTTCTAACGTTAATTAAACAAAACATCAGATGAACAAAAGCACATGACATTACACCATATTCTGCTAACTATGAGGTCTGCCATAATGTATATCATGCCTTCCTGAGGTGATTGATCTAAAATATAAAACAATTTTATAAAGAGTACGTTACATGTATTCTACGTCCCATTTTTAATATTGACTGATAAGATAAACATTGCAGACATGGCCTGTTAGTCAACAAAAAGTTCTGTGCATATCAAAAGGTTCTAAATTGGTGCCTACTGCCATTTCTCAGGAATACTGCATTAGTGCAGATGTACATTAGCTTTGATGGATGTAAGCAGCCAGTGAGCATGTTTTTTGTTTTTTGTTTTTTTTAAAATTGAAAATCAGGAATGAAAAGCACAGACATTGTCTCTTGTTATTTCCTAAAATAAATCTCTAATGGAGAATGCATTTTGATATCATTTCAGATAACGAAGATGAAGAGGAGAAAGTCTGTAATTTTCAGGATATTGTCAATCACCTGAATCTGAAAAAAGACGAACTTAAATACACTATGAGCCGGCCCATTATAAACAACAAAAATTATACAGAAGTGTTTATTACAATAAGACTCTATGCCATCTTAGATATGGTAATTTGTTTGGGTATTCTTTTATTATTAATGACAATTAATTAATTAGTTTTCTTGCTCATGAAACATAATGTCACAGCACTCATCCACAAAAGAACAACTCATTATTATTATTGTTATTATTACTTACTCTGGCTTGTGTTTCTTGCCACGACCCGTTTTTCTGTTTGTAACTTACAGTTTCTTACATCAGCGCTGTTTCATTTTTATTTAGGTATTTTTTTTGTTTTAGTTTTTTCTGAGACATTTATTTGACACACAGTACAGAGATATAGGTTGAGTTATGACTCCATGCTAATACATGACAGGTATCACTGGATTACTTCTGCTGAAGAAATCTTGAAAAAATTTTAAGCACTACTGTCCATCACTTCCAATCAGACATGATATATGTAGTTAACTGTCTTTGGTTCATGTCTTTATATTATTATTATTATTATTATTATTAGTAGTAGTAGTAGTAGTAGTAGTAACAATAATTATATTGCTGCATGAGGAGTTGGCTTGGAGGCAGCTTGGACTTCAGCAGAAACTGTCTATTTACCAGCAAAGGATAACTGCTGAGGCATTAGCTGCTATGAGTTAACATTAGCTAACCTGCCTGTTGAGCTTGACATGTGTCTGCCTCAATAAACACTATGTTCAAATTCTTTATTTACAGAGAGAAATTGACCAGACCTTAATTACTTACATTTGGGTTGATTTGGTGAGTTTTCTCTTAAATATATCATAGGTATATATGGTTTTCTCTGTATTGTTAAAATTCTATACTATTACTATACTATTTTTTTTTTCTTCAATTATTTTATTTGTTTTTCATCATCTCATCTCTTTGCCTTTTTGTACCCTTGAGTGTAGGCTTGGCTCAATGAGTACATTAAATGGAAACGAGATGATTTCTGTGGAATTGAATATATAACAATTCCTACTTCATATCTGTGGATACCAGATATAACTATTGAAGAGATGTAAGTTTGACATATGCAATATGCCCATAAACTCACTCACATATAGTCATTTTATAATCATATTTATAAATATATGCTACTGTAAAAACCATAGGGTGACAGAAAATGTTTTCCTTATTGTAATTCATGAAATAATTTACAAATTGAAGAAGGAAAAATAGCAAAGACATGGTTAGAAATAACCATTTTTACTTAAAATAACTTTATTCAAACAGAGTCAGAGGATGTGAGCAATTATCAGCTGTCTGTTGAATTTATAGGTAATTCATCTCAAGCTGTTTTGAAGCACCTTTCACAAGTTGGATTGGTTTAATAGGCAGTTCACACACTATATTGCCAAAAGTATTAATATCATCCAAATCACTGAACTCAGTTGATCCAATAACTTCCATTGCCATGTGTGTAAAAATAAATAAATAAATGAAGCAACTAAACAAGCAGACTGTTTCTAATCTGCTCTGATGAACTCGGTGAATTTCACCATGGTACCATAATAGGATGCCACTTGTTCAACAAGTCCAAATGAAACTTGCTTGCAACTAATTAATCCCCAGTCAACTGTATTATAACAAAGTAGGAACGACTGTAACTAAAATCACATAGGGAGGGGAGGTAAGCAGATGCTGAGGCACGTAGTGCGCAGATGTCACAACCTTTTATGCACATTAAATTGCTACAGACCTCCATACTTCATGTGGCCTTCAGCAAAGCTCAACAACAGAGCTTTCCAGTTGCTGCTTCCAGCTCAGCACAAACACAGGCAGCTCTCCTGTCGGGTCCCAGCATCCTTTCGAAATGGGAAAGGTATGACCAGGTGATGGAGAATAGCTGTGTGCATCAGCCTCCTCTGACACCACACCCCGAACCCACCCCTCTTTTGAACTTAAAAAAAAAAAAATAATAAATAAATAAATAAATATATATATATATATATTTATTTATTTTTTTCAACAAAATCTATTACAATTGGATTTTAAATCATATTGGATCATATAATGAAAGACTATTCAGCATACAGAAGCAATGACAAAATATAACACATCTGTCTCTACTGCAATAGATCCAAAGACTGGTTGGAGGATGTGTTTGTGTCAGAAAGGAGGGGATTTTCTTGTAAAATAAAGAAGGGCCTAGCAAAAACTAAGTTTGGGAACCACTGGCCTAGTCAATGGTATCTCTTCACCTCTAGTACTAGCAGGTTTTACTAAGATAAAATAAGATATAGCTGCAGACATAATAAATAGTCATTTATAGCATGATGCAAACTGTTTTCCATAGTATGATAATACATTGTTTTCATTACAAACATATTCTTTTATACAGGACAGAAAAAGACAAAGCGTCTCCGAGTCCATATCTCAGCATATATCACAATGGTCGGGTTGAGTTCAGGAATGACCAGGTGGTGCTAAGCACCTGCAAGATGCATGTTTACAAATTTCCTTTTGACACCCAGAGCTGCAACCTCTCCTTCAAGTCTATCTTTCACGATGGTGAGTCCATAACAGTTTCTGTTTACATGTCCTTTGTATGGTCTTAAAAGCACAACATTAGATATTTTAACATATACTGCCCGGCCAAAAGGAGGGGCTCTAATTTTCTGTTTCTGCTTTGATGATGTCATGCATAATTTCAGGAAGGTTATCCAATGCCAAAAAACTAATTTTCATCCAAATTTGCACATATTTTGGGCCAACATCTTATTTTGATGATGTTAGAATTGGACAACTGTGTGAAAAGGAATTGGGAATTTCCAAAGAGTCACATGAAACCCTGGAGCTGCTATAGAGAGCCGTACACGTAAGCTGGATCCAGTTCTGTTTAATATTAGTTTTATCTTGTTAAAAACTCCCATTAGAAAGATTGGATGTTGCAAGTAAGCAATAAAATTTGAAATAGGCATTATACAAATGCTGGGATTTAATCAATATTCCACACAACAACTAAACAGAATGAGCATGTTTTTATAACATTTTAACTTTTAACTTTAGTGATATTACTGTTTTTCTTGTAGTTGAATTAGCTGATCTGCAGTTTTTTACTGAGTTTGGATAAGAACTTTAAAGTCAGGTTAAGTGTCTGAGGTAGTGATGTGTCGGTCGCGAACGAAATGGCTCTTAGAGCCGGCTCCTTATCGCAAGCAGTGTTTTTTTTTTTTTTTTTTTTTCCCTTCTCTCACCCTCTCTCACACACTTTTTTTCCGCTTCACTCAGCATGTGAGCCTTGTGCTTGCGCTGGGAAGAGGGGGGGAGGGGCGGTAGTTACACTCGCAGTAGCACAGGAACAGAGCGGGAGGGAGAGAGAAAGGGAGCCAGGGACAACAACGCAGTGTTGCCAACTTAGCGACTTTGTCGCTATATTTAGCGAGTTTTCAGACCCCTTAGCGACTTTTTTCTAAAAAAAAAAAGTCGCTAATAAAAGACGTGAAAGCGCGTATCGCTTTTACTCTCAACAAGCAGTGGGTGCTGTAACGCAGTCAGTTCTTCTTTTACTCTTATGCTGTTTTGTGGATCAGGTTTAAAACTACTTATAAACACACACACACACACACACACACACACACACACAGTAACTCCACCAGAGTGCCTATTTCGGGTCACTTTTGCCGGTCCAAGCCCGGGTAAAGGAGCAGGGTTGGAATTGTGACATTGAATAAACAATAATTGCTAAAAGAAATTTAGTATATTTACGGTGGCCCCTAGAGACGTGTTTTGTCTCTAGGGGCCACCGCAAATATTTATATATAAACATATATAAATAAAACCAGGGGGTTTTTTGGGGGTTTTTTTTTTTAAATTTTGCATTAGTAATTCCTTTTGTGCATAATTTTATATTATTGTTAATAATAAATTAATTAAAGCAACAAAAAAACCTGAAGAGCTGGTTCGGAGCCGAAAGAGCCGGCTCTTTTTAGTGAGCCGAGCCGAAGAGTTCTCTAAACAGAGCTGGAAATCCCATCGCTAGTCTGAGGTGGAACTGCGAGACAGTGGACAAGTAATCATCAATGAGTGCATCTGTCTGGATTCGTTAGGTTGCATCTGCTTCAAAAGTGAGACATTTTCCCTGAAACAATTAATAACTCCAACATAACAATCACAAGCGTTTATGGCTCAAACACAGATGACCGACCACACATTCTATCATAACTTCTTCACATCATTACAGGATTTCTCCACATCTGCCATAATCATAGGTGGAAACTTAAACACAGTTATCAACCCAACAATAAACAGCTCAACAAACTCACATCATACCCAAAACTGGCATTCAGCCCCAATCATACCATAGCATACCAGCTTTATTTATAAATCACTTTAATATAAAGCCAGGGTTCACAAAGTGCTGTACATATACAAATAGCATAAACAAAATAAAATAAAACATGTTAAAACAAGTTGATAAAACAAGTTGAGTCAACCCCTTAAAGAGTGCCAAAGGCTTCAGCAAATAACTATGTTTTAAAAAGAGTTTTAAACTCAGAAACAGAAGAGGCCTGCCTAACGTGCAAGGGCATTTCATTCCACAACTTTGGAGCAGCTACAGCAAAGCCATGGTCACCTCTAAATTTATACTTATTTTTTGTTACCTTAAGGAGCTGCTGATTGGTGGACCTAAGGGAAGGGGCGTAGTGTTGGGGAGTAACAGAATACATGTACCAGTGTTACGTATTTAAAGTACAAAATATGATTAACTGTATTCCGTTACAGTTACCGTTTAAAAGGGTAGTATTCAGAATACAGTTACTTTGTTGAAATAAAGGGATTACATGACGGTCTTTTCCTGTTTCATATGTTAGGCTATGCCCTCTCTATTGTTGGTAATTCCACGCTGGTGGAAAACCCAAAAAAAACATGTATTACAGTGGCTTGCAAAGGTATTCGGCCCCTTTGAACTTTTCCACATTTTGTCATATTACAGCCACAAACATGAATCAATTTTATTGGAATTCCACTTGAAAGACCAACACAAAGTGGTGCACACGTGAGAAGTGGAACGAAAATCATACATGATTCCAAACATTTTTTTACAAATGAATAACTGCAAAGTGGGGTGTGCGTAATTATTCAGCCCCCTGAGTCAAAACTTTGTAGAACCACCTTTTGCTGCAATTACAGCTGCCAGTCTTTTAGGGTATGTCTCTACCAGCTTTGCACATCTAGAGACTGAAATCCTTGCCCATTCTTAGATTAGATGGACAGTGTTTGTGAACAGCAGTTTTCAGATCTTTCTCAATAACATCACACTAACATCAATACCAAAGCAACAGTTAGAACAACAGAATCTTAGACACGCCACCTACCCCAGAATAAGAAAGAGCACTACAAAAAATGTAAAACAATAAAGCACTTATTCCTTGTTGGTCTGCTCACATTTATATTATTTGTCCTTTATCACATTTCTATTTATATTCAATTTCAGATAAAGAAATATATTTGCGGAACAACTCTATTAACAATTCAACGGTCACAGAATTGTCTCGTAAGATGATGCACACGCAGTATGAGTGGCTGTTCATCGACATGTCAGTCAACAACGAAGTTGTTGAAGGTTATGGATTCAATCAAACTGTGGTCATTTACACTGTAAGTATTTCTGAAAACAGAAAGGAAAACTCGTTCTTTTCCCTTTATCCATCTACTCTAGCCACCTGGTTTCAGGTCAAGCACTCAAGTTTTTTCCACAGCAGGTGATGGATGTGCTGAACCATGCTGCTGTGTTTGGCCCAGTTCAGTTGTAGGGCAATCTTTGAGTTGCCAAGTTTGCAGTGGACAATATGCTATGATGTACATCAATTAAAATAATTTTTATTCATCAGATTTATCAGCCGTATCATTTAGTTATCATAATTTGCAGTATATATTTAGGAGTGTGTAGGATCAGTAATAAAAGTATGTGTAAAAACAATAACCACAAATGGTAAACAAATTGTGCTATACAATAAAAAAAAAAAAAAAAGATATCTAATTTAATGTTAGACATCTTTTTAATCTAATAACATTCTCACATGCACCCTATCCTTGGGCTGTGCATTTAAAGCCATCCTGTTTCACTAAAACAATGCAGGATCATTTATGCACAGTGTATTGTACACTATAATCTGAAAATCAGGTGGTCTCCCTGATTTTAACCATTGATATCAACGCGTTATCATTGTTAATGTGAGGTTTAAAGGACTTGTATTCAGCTTTAATGGAAGATAAGTCAGGTTTTACTTTTGATACTTTATACTTGGTTTTTAAATAACAGTTTTATTTGTAGTGATATTTTTCACAGTGTTGTTTATTTCCTAAAGGAGTGGTTTGAATTCCTACACCACTTGTCTCTGACAGCTAATAGCAAATATTTTTTGGTAATATATCAGATATTTATTTAACTATAGAAGTACTTTTTTGCAATTTTTCAGCCAGGAAGGAGTGCATGACGGTGAAGAAGTCCATGTAGAGTGCAGCAATAATTTGTCAAATGTCACTGCACGCCACTGCCTTATATACAGTTGTGTTCAAAATCATAGTAGTGTATGTTAAAATGTGAGTAAACTTCGAAATCCATATATATTTTTTTAATTTCCCTTCATTTGTAACACTGCACATTATATTTTTCATCAAAACATGAAGGAAAAAAGTATCAATATTTCAATTACTTGTCTGCATTTTTTCATTACAAACTCAAATATTTACTCAAAGTGGAAAAAATGTTAAGATTTAGCCTTCCTGTGTATCACTAAACTAATATTTAGTTGTATAACCACTGTTTTTGAGAACTGGTTCACATCTGTGCTACATGGAGTCGATCAACTTCTGGCACCTGTAAACACGTACGCCAGCCCAGGATGATTTGACAACCTTCCACAATTCCTCTACATTTCTAGGTTTTGCCTCTAAAACTGCATTTTTAATGTCACTCCACAAGTTTTCTTTTGGATTAAGGTCCGGGGATTGGGCTGTGCACTACATAACCTTAATTTTGTTGGTCTGGAACCAAGATGCTGCTCACTTACTAGTGTGTTTGGGGTTGTTGTCTTGTTGAAACACCCGTTTCAAGGGCATTTTGTCTTCAGCATAAGGTAGCATGACCTCTTCAAGTATTTTGATATAAGCAAACTAATCAATGATCCCTGGTATGAGATAAATAGGCTCAACACCATAGTAAAAGAAAAAGCCCCTTAAGTTTTTTTCCACATCTCTCTGGTTTGGCTTTCTATTTTAAAGCATTGGAGATCATTTTAGCTGAGCAGCCTAGCATTTTCTGCACTTATTTATATGTTTTCCGCTCTCCAATCAACATTTTGATTAAAGCATGCTGTTCTTCTGAACAATGTCTGGCACAACCCATCTTTCTAAGGTTTTCGGAGAATATTGCATGTGCAACATGTGCTGGCTTCATCCTTAAATAAGGGCCACATGAATGACACCTGTTTCTTCACATAATGAATGACCTCACTGGTTGGACTCCACACTGCTATTATTGTGAACACGGCCCTTTCACTTAATTATTCAATTGCACAGACTCCGGTGCATTCATATTGTGAATGTTGAGTCTGTTGGTTTCTCTGACTCTACTCACCTACTGGTAAATTATTTGCCATGTAATAAAATGATTCCTATCAAAAACACTGATCTGATTCGTCATGTTGGACTGCTATTATTTTGAACACAACTGTACATCCTGTGGTGGTGTTACAGACACCCAAAACAACATTAATAACGCTGCATGGTTTGGCACATTTACACCACCCAAAACTTCTCACTTAACTCCTTTCTCTTTACTATTTGAATACAAATTCACATAATACTTCTTTGAGTGTAAATCTGTCTATTGTGCCTAACCACCTGGGGAAACAAATTCACAGATTACCATGAAGAGGAGGTCTGTCCTCTACGTTGCCAATTTCATCCTGCCAGTGCTCTTCTTCTTGCTTCTGGACTTATCCTCCTTCCTCATCTCAGACACTGGGGGTGAGAAACTCGGCTTCAAGGTCACTGTCTTGCTTGCTGTCACAGTGATGCAGCTTCTTCTCAATGAGATTCTGCCGAGCTCTTCAGACAGTATTCCACTTATAGGTAAGGAAGCGTGTTTGACTGCACATATAGTCAATACTTATTTGTCCACAAATTTAATAATATTGTCTGCCCTCCTCAGCTGTCTACTGCATTGGAATTTTTGCTCTGATGCTGCTCAGCCTCCTGGAGGCAATTTTGGTCAAGCATCTGATTGAAAAGGAAGATGAGACTGATGGAGACCGAAGCCTGGGGGAGAACTCTGGGAACAACCAGGGCGGCCACAACTTCTACAGCTGTTTTAGAGGTGAGCTTAATCATAGCAAACATTCCACAAATCTGCATGCAGTTTTAGTTGTGTTGCATTAATCTTTATGCCTAATGTTTTTCCAGAGATTAGGAGACTCAGTCACCACGCCTCTGTTGATGAGGTATCTTCTCATGAAACACCATCTGTGTCTCTGTCCCGAAAGGTTGGGAAAAAATGCACATTTTTTTTCTCTTTTCAGAAACTCCAGGAAGGGATGTTTGCATTGCAGAGATTATCCTGTATCTTAAACTGTATATCGGAAGCAAACATTTTTTTATTAAATCAATGTAGAAACAAACCAGTGTGTCAAATGTTAAAGCTATCATGAACCTTATTGGCCTAACATCTTGTTGATTGCCTTTCTACAAAACCACTCTTTCAGGGCAGCAGCAGTATACTGACAGAGGTGTCCTTTGCTCTGGAAAAAGTCTCAGATGAGCTGCAGGAGACAAGGAAAACAATGACTTTGCTCAGCAGCAACAGGAAGTCTGGATACTGGACCAGAATGGCTAAAAAAGTCAACAAGATTTTCCTAATTTTTTATTTGACTGCAGTCACTGTGTTCTTAGCATATATGGTTTCAATGTGGAACAGTGCTGAGGGTAAGTAGGGCTAAAGTTAAAAAACCTAAAAGAACTAAAGCAAAAAAGAAAACACACAAACGTATTTTTTACTCTGTGTTATATATTTGCAGTTAATTTCTATTTGTCCGAAACAAAAACATTTTAGAAACCAGAAAAAATTTCTGAAATTGTACTCTGATCTCGAGTGTTAGGAGTGTTGTGATCAGTGTCAGGTCATAGTCAAAAAAGTAATGTATTACACATATTACCCAGAACACTTTTCTTAAAAGTAATGCAATAAATTACTCCAATTAGAAAATAATTAATTATACTGGCATTAACATTATTTTCACCTTATTCTGTAAAATAACCTGAAACAAACGTTCATAATAACCATTTAAAAGTATAAACTGAGTCTACAGTCCACCACAGCAACACAAATCCCTATCGCGACAAGGACGCACATATGATCTTTCTCTTAGTATTTAGGTATGAACACAAAGCTGACAGTACAAGCAAAGATGAAAACCAGCACAAAAATTGTTAAAAAAAAAACAAAAAACCATCGCCACAGTGATTCTAGAATTCAGAGAAAAAAGTACGCATTGTTTCACGATTTATAAGATGGAGCATTAGTTGTATATTCATAGTTTATTATTTAAGTGTAGCTCCTGACCTGATGCTTCCTTGTACAGTTTGCCCTTGTTGAGTTTGAGTGTATTAGCTAGTTCCAGTTTTATTTTTCCTACTTTATTTATTCTTGTGGTATTGTGTTTAGTTCCCTTCCTGTTTCCACTCTCTGTATTTGCAGTGTATTTATAACCTTACCCTTTCTTTGATTTCTATTAGAGTATTTTGTATCAGTATACTACCCAAAGAGCTTTATTTGTCTAATTAACATAGAAAAAATCACATCATTTAGTGGTCATTAAAGTGTGTTCAGATTTATTTATTTATCACATTTAATATATTTAACTTATTGATGATGATTTATCTCATAAATTGTGAAACAATGCTGACTTTTTTTCTTGGAATTCTGGATGAAAAAGACGTCCCCACTTTTTGTTTTTTCCAATGTCTCCAGTTCTCTTTTGTACATAAGCTGGTTTTAAAAGTTAAACAATTCTAAAAAGTTCTAAATCACTAGTTTCAGCCTATCTGAATAAAAGACTGAGTATAACATGTTCTAATATGCTAGTGCTTTCTCAATAGAGAACACAGGACATAATGTTCAAAGTGAAAATATAGCAGATTGTTATTGTTACATATTTATTACAATATTATTAGAAGAAAATTAGCCTTTTCTTTTACAATTGTAAGAGAAAAGGCTAATTTTCTTCTAACAATATTGTAATAAATATGTAACAATAACAAACAAAACATACGTATACGTAACAATTACACATCAGTCATATAAAAAGGTTCTGTTCAAAATGAATCATAGGTGTTTTCATACTGGCTTTGGCCAAACTTTCCTTGAGCAGTGTCTTTGCATGTTTTATGTACTTGTATACATGTATCCCATAGTCCTTAATTATGTGTCTGTTTCCAGTAGTATGTTTAATATACTCATCTTAAGGATATAATAAAAGGGTATGATAATATTCACTTGATAAGAAATATACACACTGTTGATGTTCTTTTACATACATAATGAATATGTTTAAAGTATACTGTACTGGAAGTTTAGGCTTTTAATAAACAATTAAACATAAATACGTGGCAATATGAAGTAATGTACTTGTGTGTGCTGTATATCCTTCATTTACATGTGCATCCTACTAGAACATTGCAGTAAACGTTAGAAACATCTTGCTGCTCCTTTCATTGTATATTTTTGTGTGTGTGTGGCACAACCAACAGATTTAGAGTAATTAGAGTGTAAATTTCCATGAAATGAGGTGCTGCAGGTAAAGGCAAGTTTTTAAACACACAAATTGCATAATTCCTCCAAACTTAACTACCTTTCGTAGCAGTACATCCTGGTTTGAATCGAGGTGATGAAGAAAACGTTCATGTTCTCCCGGCTGCTCTCCTTGGAAAGTGACAGTATCATGGAGTGAGTGAGTGTCCGCTGAGTCTATGGTAGCCTGATTGTTCTATCATGTACTAATAGAATGATGGACTCACTCATAGGACACTGGGAAAAGGTTAACACAAGTTTATTTACAGAATGTGATGCGGAAAAAACTAAACTAGAAATGCACCGTCTCTAATGCTGTGGGTTGGAGGGCAGAGGAGATGCAGGAGATGCATCTCAGACAGAAAAAAATACAGGACAGTTTTCCAAATCTTTAATGAATGTATGGTTTTATGATAAAAGGCAAACATTTTCAAATGTGACAGCTTTTACATACTGTGTTCATGGATGTATTGTAGTAGGACATGAAGAGGCTTGGTGTGACAAGAGGATGCTAAGGATAGAGGTCCACATTTAGAGGTGCAACCTGCCCACCAAGTCTATTGTTACGAAATAAAAACTGTGTGTGTGACGTATAGCAGAACTATAGATATGTAGTTTGCCTGGCAAGGCTTTCAGAACTGGGGAACGTCTTCGCAGAGACGAAGACGTACCCCTGTCGCCAAAAGAATTCAAAAGAACGGAATTTAATACTATCCAGCAGTGGTGAGCCCATAATATGTTCTGTTTGCATGTGTTTTTCATGGTTTCTTAATCACATCTTCATATATCATGACATTGTTTATCTTACAGATGGAATATGAGTTAGAATTAGAATTCATTCAGATTTACCTGCTTAGAGCCTCGTCACATGATGCTGACGTAGACACAGCACAAGTGGTTATTCATCACCATGACAAAGAAATTATACCTGAACCCCCAATTCTGCCATTAGCCACATTTGTTCACACCCTACCAAGTTGTGATCACACATATTTCCAATTTAACCTTCATAATGAAAACAAGTTGCTAACAAAAGTTGCTATAATTTAAATTATTTGGTTTATCCATTTTCTTCTTATTCAATTCAGGATTGTAGGCAGGCTAGTATTTAAATCCTTAAATACATCAAGGTGATGAATTCATGGATTGTAGGTGTGACGGCCAGTTGAAGGATGGGAAAGAGCCAGTCCATCTCTCCACCTAAGAAAGAGGCAAGAGAGATTAAACAAAAGGAAATAAAACCAGCCTGTCTAGAAAAGTCTATTCATTTTACAGACAAGCTGCGCTCATAAAATTTTCATACTAGCTCTCACAATGGAATTATCTTGTTATTATTAAACCACCAGCTTCTACCTGAATAAAAAAAACTTATAGGCAATTAATTTAGGTAAAAATCAGATAACTGCAAAGGTAAACAGCTAAAGGTAATATGTCTATCTGCCAGGTCATTTTTATTACAACTGCTTCGTATTTTAATGTTGAAACAACACTGCACTGCTTGCCACAGGAGTCACTTTTGCTTCCAGCAGCATGCAAGGGGCTGAGTACTGTATGACAGCTGCTTATTCAGTTCTACTCCAGGCTTTTTTGGTTTTGTTTTTACTTCAGTATAATGTGTCATTAATTCATTGTAAAATGACATTCTGTAAAAATACAGTACAGTGTACTGTATAAATGTGAAGGAATTTTCTCTGTTAATTATCTACAGGTATTGTATTTCTTAAATATTGCATTGCGGTAGCAAACCCCGAAAGGAGGCAAAAGTAAGAGGGAGGCCAGCCATTGCACTGACAGGCTTCATTTTAGTGCTAAATATTAAAGCTTTTATTAAAATAACGTTTTTTTTTTTCAAAAGACTCAGTGTTTTTATTTAGAAATAATTGTTAATATCTTTGTTAACTGGATCTGCCAGATAAGTCTGGAATATTTTGCTGTCTCTTTTTGAAAATAATCATGATTTAAGTTTAATATGACTTAATCTTTCCATTCTAGCCAATAATACAGTTTTTTTATTTTATTGTTTATGATACCCCTAGTTTTAGCCGTGAGAGGCTGGTGTTCAGTCATTTTAGCATACAACTCAGAGTAGCATACATTGCATTAATTCGCATATGCATTGTACAATAATTTCACCATGTCAATAGGAGCTATCAGTTCGGCATACAGATGACAGAGAGTAAGTAAATTATGTTTATTTTAATATAGGCACATTCTTCTTTGACTTGACAGAACACTGGATAAAGCGCAGTATTCATAAATACTATATTTAGCTGCCTGCTTCTCTCTGGGCTTTAAACAGCTTTGACTGCTAGTTGGCTAATGAGCTAAAGTCAGTGTTGTAGATCAGTGTTTCCCAACCACTTGTTGTGCCGTGAGAAATGATCAGGTGTGCCGTGAAACATTACCTCATTAACTATTAATACTAATAGCAAAACCACTCACTGAGTTTGCAAAACTAAAAGCACAAACACTGCTTTGCACTCAGTTTGCCGTTTTGTAACACAGACTTTGTAAAACTGTAGGTAAAATCCACTGCAAAGCACTCTTTTTGCAGAACTGTAAACACAACTCACTGCTTTGCACTCAATTTCCAAATGATCAACACACTTCTAGCAAAACTATACACATTTATGGCTATTATTTACACTACTTTGCCAACTGCCTGGCACACTGTCACATGTGAAAACTATTTTAGATAATTAGTTCACTTTGCAATCAGCCTAAGCACTATAAATAAGCTACAGGTAAGCTGTGTGTGTGGAGTACAATGGAGGGAGAAGGAAGAGTGAGAAGTAGAGGAGGCTGAGGAAGAGGACGTGGAGGTGAAGAAGTAGGACGAAGAGGATGACAAGGACAAGGAGGAGCAAGAGGAGGACGAGTAGAAGAAGAAGAAGAAGAAATAGAATTACTGATGACATCAGAGCTACAATAGTGGACCATGTAATCAACCATGGAAAGACCCTGAGGGAAGCTGGCCAACAGGTTCAGCCTTACTTGAGCTGCTACACTGTAGCAAGATCATAAGGACATTTCAAAATGAGAATCGGTTAGTACAGTCACTTTGCACTAAGACTTGTAGCACTGCCATATGCTAATGAGAAACACAACAATACCATAGATGTAAAATTCCAGAAGATAATTTCCCCGGTGCCTTGGACTAGAGGACATTGCATGTGATGTAGACGAAATTTTGTAGCCGGATCCAGAGAGACGACACAATGTAGACTGATTTGTTTTTTTTCCTCACTGAAATTACTATTTTGTTTTGACTTCGAAATAAACACTTGTGTTTGTTTTGATGTGTGTGACTAAACACCAGTACTTGAAGTTTGGATCCCTCTGTGTTTACGGACCTATGACAAAAGTATGACCTCAAACTGACATGGCCTACCTTTTGCACAGAAAAGCAAAAGCCAGATGTGGTTTTTATTCATACCATCAGTGTGTAGTTGGTGCATTGTGTGCTTATTAATGTAATGGCTTGTGTTAACTGTTTGATACAAAAATACCATTTTTACGAAGGTTTGGAGAGTTAAGCATGTTTATTAGCTTTTACAAGAAAACTACAACGTTTTGCTGATTTGGTGAAGGGTTTTGCAAAAATAGCCAATAGTTACAAAAAACGTGCTTAAGCCATCAGAAAAAACTGTAAATGGGTTGCCAATTGCTAGTAAAACTGAAGAAGACAAAGAAGAAATTACATAATAGTCATGCTGTGAGTAAGACAACGCAGCGCGTAATAACAATAGATACGTTTTTGAAAAGAAAAAGTAGCCAATCTGACCAGGGTCCTGGAGTAAATTCCGACCCTACCATGAGTAGTGGTAAGAAGAAAGCAAAAAAGGTATACCAGGGCAAACGCCAAGCCAATTCTGCTATACCTGGTCCGTGGGGGGAAATTATCAATACGTTTTTTGTGAAAAAAATTATTTCGTGGTGTGCCGTGTGATTTTTTTTTTTTTTTTTTTTTTTTTTTTTTTTTTTTTTTTTTTTTCAAAACACTAATGTAGATAACTGGGAAAAGTTAAAAATTCATGGTTCCACTTAGGTATAGACAGGAAGGAATAGTTTTAGGACTCTAATAACTTCTACAGTAATACTTCTGTTTTACAGTTGTCTCTACTTTAGACTTTTAAAGGGTTTCAGGCAGAGTTTCACTAAACCCAGTTTTAGCCTCAGACCTGCCTGGCAGATGCAGTTTTACCTCAGCATATTTATCATTATGTCCATGTTGTAGCACATAGAAATATTTAATTAACATTTTCAAGCAGACACATTTTCTCTGCAACTATTTCTTTGTCATGGTCGTTGACCCAGCATTTTGTGTTTAATATGATT